GCCTCTCTGGATGTTAGCCCAGCAAGGCTAGCTGCAGCTAACGCAAGCTAACGGCTAAGAATGCTAACAGCGAAAACACGAACTGTGCCTTTTATGAAAAGCCTTCGGATGGATGTCTGGACTCGTATCCCGGAATGACTGAATTTCAACAATAACAGCTTTAGATGTAAACAGAAGAGCCGTTAACAGCTCTAATGGCGACTCCTTCTCTCTCCTTGTTTACAGTGACTCTGCAACAACCAGACCGGTGACGTAACCGCCTCAACATCACTCTGACGTCACTGCTGTTAGCAAATAATTAACTTCAGGTTTTTTATTGTTATTTTCCTATTCATGACATGGTTTACTATCCAGAGAAGTGAGAAAAGGGGGAAAGTGTTTATTACGTCTTTGTTATATAACAGTGTTATGTACTCAAGTACTACTTAGTATAATTTGGAGGTACTTGTACTTTACTTGAGTGTTTACATTTAGTGTTACTCTGTACTTCTACTCCACTACATTTATTAAACAGCTTTTAAACTAAATCTAAAAATGAAACTAGTGTACTAACTCTTTAAGACACAGAAGAGTCAACTTATTGAAATATTTCAAAAAAATGTTTTAAATGTTTTAATTTAGAAAATGTTATTACATATAATTTTATATCACGTTTTTGTTTATAAATTTTTTTTTTAATGTTGCATTTTGTATTGTACTCCTTTCCCATGCCAGTAAATTGATTGGCTACGACTTGATGTGAAAATAAAGCAGATGGTCTCTGTGAGAGTAATGATGATAAGTACCGTGACTTCTGCAGACCAAAAACAAAAGACATTTATTCATATTTGTACGTTTATGAACATTGATCTGATATGTGAATGTATTGAAACCTCATGCACATTTAAATCGCATGTGCTGAACTGCTATATTTAGAGGAAATTGTATTTTTATATATATCTTCACATTTTAAATGATCTCAACAGGTTTCAGATTGGTGAGTTAGTTTAACCTTTTTATGTTTCATGTTTGTCAATTTAAACTGTTCATTTTTTACTGCTGCATGATGGGATTTAAAATAAAGAATACATTTATCCAAGTTTGAGTCGTGAATCATTTATCAACTCCATTTGAAACATGTTTAATCATAGTTTAGCGGTGGTAACGTGAAGTCATGTGACCTGTCATGTAACATGTCATGTAACATCCAAGGTTTTCGGGGGTTTCAAAACTATCCCCCTTTCCCCCGCTGGTGGGTGGAAGGTAAGGCCTCTCCTATAGTGAGAGCCCCCCTCTAGTGGCGGAGATCTCTCCTGTGGCTGATCTCCCAAGCTACACATTGACCACCCCACCCCCAAAAAAGGACGTATTATTGGCTTCCCCTAATTTTTTCCCCACGCTACAACCTCACACACTGGTACTGAATGTGCATCAAAGTCTTCCTACCGAGCCAAATATACCAACATATGTATGTAAACGACAAAAGAAGCGATCGAAAATCACCGCCACATCTGTGCCCCAGTTGATCGGGAAACCAGTTGATCGGGAAACCAGTTAACGGGGAAACCAGTTAATCCGGAACACTGGCCGGAGCTTTGTGAACATTTTTCTTTAAACCCCTGGTCTCTGTATTGGCGATGGAGGTGATTCTATGTTTCTAGTGAATTAGCATATGTAACGGAGTTAAAAATGTGTATAAATTATTATTCGTTTTTAAATTATGATTTACAATAGGTTGTGAATGTTGTCTTTATGTGATTGTTTCCTTTCATATTTGTGAGTAATGTTTCCAGTGGGAACACTTTCCCCTTGCACATCGTTTTCTACTTGCTGGATGTCACTTCCGCTTTCCCGGAGGAGCACTGCGGAGGGTGAGTTGTGCTAGGAATTGTGTCACAGTTTATTACAATTCAGTGTGGTAAACCGGCTATTTAAGTTGATGAAAGTGATGTATGTTGTTAAGTGTCAATTTGGGTACATTATTAACCCGTTTTTGTTAAGTTTCCACCGTAAGAAATAGAATTTTGGGTGATATTTATGGTGTGGTTTTGGCGCGAAATAGACGCGATCTGCGCCATTTTGTTTGTGTACATGGCAACACTTTCTGATTTGTCTTTCTTTTCTTTTGTAAAGATGTGCAGCGCAGATGTAAAGGACTTTTTGTGATTGTTCTCAGAATAAATGCCAGAAACAGTGGCGAGCCGTCAGGGCCCTCTGTGAGGGCCTAACATATTCTAGAAAATAATATTTGAAAACATTTAAAAAATATATATATTTTTTAAATATATATATTTTTAATATTATTTTTTTTATATTTTCCATTAGTTTTACCAAAAAAAACTTGATTTTAATCGTATTTAACAAAACATTTCCAAAGAAATAAATCCTTCGAATCTGCCTGTTCAGTCTCTGTTGAATGTGAAGGGTTTCATGAAAGAACTGCGTCTGGCCCTCTCTGCCATTCACAGAGTATATAGTAAAACAACGAGAGAGTAATGTCAAGTGACAGTACAATTGACCAATCATATCTTCCCTCTAAATGGGTGGGCTTTATTATCGCGGACTGTATGACAAGTTCCGCCCGCTGCGCTGCCAAGTTTATGCATGTGCTATAACAACGGTCAAGCTAGGCGGAAGTAGCTAATTAGCATACGTTCATTCACGATGGCTCACGTCAGTGATAGTGATGACATCGTTGCGAAACTACTAACCGAGTCTTTTTCAAGAATGAGTTACACTGATAAATTGGAGTTAATTTCCAAAGGGCGACCAACACCACAGCTTAATTTAGTTCAAAAAACCAAACGGTTCGAGAGGCATTTTAATATCGGCAATTACGCCAGATACAACTGGATGACCGGATCAACCAGGGAACAAAAGCTGTACTGCTGGGATTGCTTGCTTTTTGGCGCGGACAGTGGGTCATGGGCCAAAGATGGATATTCTGATTTAGGAAGTTTATCCAAATCAGCACATCGCCATCATAATGCTTCAGGTCACCTCAGAGCTACTATTCGCCTTAAAACATTTGGGGACACCAGGATAGAGCTCCAGCTGGATGAGCAACAACGCCGGGGTGTCATCATTCATAATGAAAAGGTGAAGAGGAACCGAGGAATTTTGAAACGCCTCATAAATTGTGTGGTGTACTTAGGCAAGCAGGAGTTGCCGTTCCGAGGTCACGATGAGAGTGTAACTTCATCAAACAAGGGGAATTACATAGAGTTGCTGGATTTAGTGGCAGAATATGACAGCGACCTGCACACACACCTCGCCACATCAACAGTCTTTACCGGCACGTCTTTGAGGATTCAGAATGACCTGATCAGCGCTGTCGCTAGTGTAATGACGGATAGCATGAAAGAGGAGCTGAGGAAGGCACCTTTTGTCGCGGTCATGTTGGATGAAACAACAGACATTAGCAACGTGGCGCAGATGTCATATGTGCTTCGATATGTCACTGAAGATGGGATAAAAGAGCGTTTCTTCAAGTACGAAGATGTGACCGAGGACAAACGAGCAGAGGCCATAGCTACACGGCTGCTGGAGTTCCTGAGGGAGAGTGGCTGTATTGACAAAGTGGTCGCGCAGTGCTACGATGGAGCAGCTGTTATGGCCTCTGGATTGAATGGGGTGCAAGCGAAAGTTAAGGAAACAATTCCACAGGCCCTTTTCATTCACTGCTATGCTCACATCTTAAATCTCGTCTTGTCAAAGGGAGCTTCCAAGATAAGAGAGTGTAAGGTCTTCTTCTCACACCTCTCTGGCTTGGCCACCTTTTTCAGCCGCTCAGCAAAGCGCACCAAGCTACTGGATGATATTTGCCAGCATAGGCTTCCACGGGCAGCTCCCACTCGCTGGTGCTTTCATTCTCGCTTGGTGTGCACAGTGGCAGAGAAGACCAGGGAATTGAGAGAGGTAAGATAATAATAATAATGACCGTAATGAAAATATTAACAATAATAAAGAAATGATATAGTGTTGGAAACTACCCACTCATAAAAACATGAAGGTAAAGAACTATGCTAGTATTACATTAAATGAAAAGCTAATGTTAGTGTTTACTGGAGGTCTATAAGTTGTTTTTTCTAAACTAAGCATTACTCTCGTAGGTGTTCGAGCACATCGTAGACCATCACACAGAGTTTGATGACGAAACTGTTCATTGCTCTGATGGATACATCACCCTCCTTACCAGCTTCGATTTCAGCTTTTGGTTGAAAACCTTCCACGCTATCTTCTCCTACTCGGATGTTGTTTTTCAAATACTTCAGAACAAAGGTTTTGATATGCAGTTCTGCCTGGCCAGAGTGGATCAGCTACAGCGACAAATTGAACAGGAGAAGGGGAACTTTGACAGCGTCTACGATGAAACCCAGGCTTTGGTTGGCCCTCAGCGCGGCCGTGGAGCTCAAGGAGACGTTCGCGCACGGTACAGGGAGCTCCACTGCAGCGTAATTGACAGCCTGCTAACCCAGATTGCCAACCGCTTCAGTGACCACAAAAAGCTGGAATTCCTGGCCCTTCTGGACCCGCAACAGTTCGGGCATTACTGTAACTATTTCCCAACTGCTGCCTTGAACAGTTTGATGGAGAGCTATGGCGGATATTTCGACCAGCCTCGACTGCACACGGAACTCGCCGTGATGTACGACATGTCTGACATTTTGGGGAAAAGCCCAGCCGGCATTCATCAGTTTCTCCTAAAAAAAGGACTGAGTGAAAGCATGAAGCAGGTGTACACCCTCTCATGCATCATCCTGACAATACCTGTGTCCACTGCCTCTGTGGAGAGGTCATTCTCTGCGCTGAAGCGCATAAAAAGCTACTCGAGGTCCACGACTGGGCAAGTCCGACTGTCAGACTTGGCCTTAATTTCGATCGAGAAGGAATTGCTGATTGCTTTAAAAGCAAAGGATCAGCTGCATGACCCCGCCATCAAGTTCTTCATACAAAAGGACAGGAGGGTGGACTTTGTGTTTCAGTGATATGATCATCAAAGGTAAGCCAAAGTGATTTTCAATGTGGGCCGCCGTGCCGACTTAATTCATTTTTAATTGTTACTTGGCTGTGGGTGCCCTGTGATGATAGGTGTTTATATAAATGGTGTTGTTCTGTGTGGTAGAGGGTCGCTGTCATTGATGCGTTTTGCACCCCGGGCCGTTGTTCTGATATTCCACTGAAGTATACGCTGTGACGTAATAACTCTTCTTTTTTTTCTTTTTTTCGAGGAAGGCGGGGGGTCAGAGGGCCTAGGTAGAAAAGTCACGGCTCGCCACTGGCCAGAAAACACACTCAGATTCTTTGCTGTCCAGTGACGTGCAGTGAGGTTCATGGCTGGTGAGGCACTCACTCACTGAGTCAAATTTACAAATATTATATTTTTACCTTAATCGAAATATTCGGTTATTTTCAAAAGCTTTTTTAGTCTGATGCTTCGATTCATTTTATATTCACACTTCGATATGTTTTATAATGATTGATCATGAAAGTGTTCTCAAAGCTGGTAAAGGTGCAGCTAGTTTGAATGACTTTGTATACTGCAGGGTAGCTTGTGGATTTACTCCAGGTGGAACTAAAGTCTGATTTAACACTTGATTATATTTCACATCATTCATCCACATCTGTAAAGTAACTAAAGGTATTAAATACATGTAGTGGAGTCAAAGTACACCATGTACCTCTGACTTATGTTTACTGCCAACCTAAAAGTACCTCAAAAATAGTAATCAATAATGTATTGAAAAGTTATTTGGCTGATTGTTTTATATTGGCTCAGCCAGGTTATATGGGATGCCCAGTCTACAGATGGGTCACTCATTTTGAAATATTAAACTTAGTTTTATTTTCTTTAATTTTTCATCCTCATGTAGAATGCTATTATGAAACACACATTTGGTTGTTTATAGCATAAAGAACATCTGATTTAATGTGAGGTAGGGAAATAATCATTTGAGTATAAGTATGTGTATATAAATATGTAATTTACAACAGCTGTAAGATGCTTGAAAAGCTTGAAAATGCACCTTGAAAATGCTTGAAAAGTGCTTGAATTTGACTTTGGAAAAGGTGTAAGAACCCTGTTTATAGTTAGCTTTACTAACTCTTTAAGACACAGAAGAGTCAACTTGTTTAAATATTACACCATTTTTTTTTTTAAAGGTTTTAATTAATTAATTTAATATGTTTTTTAATGTAAACTTAATTTTAATTTAATTTTTTTTTTTAATCACTTTCTTGTTTTCATTTTTTTGTAAATGTTTTTTTTAATGTTTTATTTAAAGATATATATATCTTTACTGTACGTGACTTATCAGGTTGTGTAAGTGTTTGTGTAAACCCCTAACCCTACCTAACATTGTGATGAAGTCCAAGATAATTTGTTGATGGGCAAAAAGTCCAATTTTGTATTTACTTAATTACATCTGCATCTTAATATCGTACTAAACGAACCAACTGTTAAAAAATATGGGGGAGGGGAGCCATGACTGACTGTACTTCCTGTCTGCTGTGTTTCAGCTTCACTCGGAGACAACATGGCTTCCAGGTTAGAGGAAGATCTCTGCTGTCCGGTCTGTCAGGAAGTCTTTAGAGATCCTGTTGTTCTGTCCTGTAGCCACAGCTTCTGCAAAGCCTGTCTGCAGACCTGGTGGAGAGAGAGACCATCACGAGAGTGTCCAGTCTGTAAGAGAGAATCTTCAAGAAGAAATCCCCCTTGTAACCTGGTGTTGAAGAACCTGTGTGAGGCCTTCTTACTGGAGAGAGGTCAGAGACCTCCAGAGGCTCTCTGCAGTCTGCACTCTGAGAAACTCAAACTCTTCTGTCTGGACCATCAGCAGCCAGTGTGTCTCGTCTGCAGAGATTCAAGAACACACACCAACCACAGATTCATACCCATGGATGAAGCTGCTCAGGATCTCAGAGAGGAGCTCCAGAAAGCTCTGCAGCCCTTTCAGGAGAGACTGAAGCTCTTTGAAGAAGTTAAAGTGGAGTTTGATCTCACAGCAGGACACCTGAAGCTCCAGGCTCAACACACAGAGACGCAGATTAAGGAGCAGTTTAAGAAGCTTCACCAGTTTCTAGAAGAGGAAGAGGAGGTCAGGATGGCTGCACTGAGGGAGGAAGATGATGGAGGAGAAGATGGAGGCTGTGAGCAGAGAGATAGCAGCTCTTTCACTCACAGTCAGAGCCACAGAGGAGGAGCTGAGAGCTGAAGACGTCTCCTTCCTGCTCAACTACAAGGCTGCAGTGGAGAGGCTGCAGCGCCCCCTGCTGGAGGATCCTCAGCTGCCCTCAGGAGCTATGATAGACCAGGCCAAACACCTGGGCAACCTCAGCTTCAACATCTGGAGCAGGATGAAGGACATGGTGTCCTACTCTCCTCTCATCCTGGACCCAAACACTGCTGATCTAACCTTCATCCTGTCTGAAGATCTGACCAGTTTGAGCGAAGTAAAAGAGAGACATGAACTTCCTGATAATCCAGAGAGGGTTGATATACACATCTCTGCCCTGGGCTCTGAGGGCTTTAACTCAGGGACTCACAGCTGGGATGTCCAGGTTACAGACTGTACATTCTGGGAACTGGGTGTGTTAGAAGAGTATGTCCAGAGGAAGGGAGACATAAATTCTGGATTATCGATGATATGTTTCGAATATGGTGAATACGCAGCATGTTCACCACCAAATCCAAACATTCGTCTCCGTCTGAAGAAGAAGCTCCAGAGGGTCAGAGTGAATCTGGACTCGAACAGAGGGAAGTTGTCGTTCTCTGATGCTGACACTAACAGACACATACACACATTCACACACACTTTCATTGAGAAGATGATTCCATACTTTAACACTCTGGGTGAAATGAAGATATTACCACAGAAGGTGTGTGTGACAGTAGGTCAGAGCAGGTCGAGATAAACAGGATCATTATATCTATGATGTTTATCTCTTAAAGGCATCATTCACTGACCTCTGAAGCACCTCCTGCCGTCTCTTTATCAGGGTTCCAGCGGGGTCTTAAAAAGTCTTACATGTGAGTTGGTGAAACCTTTAGAAGCCCTGTTTATTCCAAACGTGTTTATTTCTTTTTCACAATTTATTTTCTTGTTGAGTATGATAATCTGCTTTTTCAATATATTGTCAACTTTTTGTCAATTTGAACTGTTCATTTGTTACGACTTCATGATGGGATTTAAAATAAAGAATACATTTATCCAAGTTTGAGCAGCGAATCATTGATCAACTCCATTTGAAACATGTTTAATCATATTAAAAACTGGGTGAACTGGGTTTGAATCAACTGACGGACCTCCTGTCAGGGAGTTAAACATAAGTATTTAATACGTGGAGTAAATGTTAAACAGTTTGACCAGGAGAAACCTAGACCGAGAGGACGGCACATTGTTGTCAAATGTTCACTTTTTGACAACAATAAACTCTTTAAGGATTTAATCAGAATAAGAAATACTTCCTAGTAGTAGTAGTTCCTTTATAGCCCAACGTTAGCCTCCTTTAGCTTAGCGGTGGTGACGTGAAGTCATGTGACCGTGCTGTAGTTCCTTTATAGCCCAACATTAGCCACCTTTAGCTTAGCGGTGGTGAAGTCCTGTGACCGTGCTGTAGTTCCTATATAGCCCAACATTAGCCACCTTTAGCTTAGCGGTGGTGACGTGAAGTCATGTGACCGTGCTGTAGTTGCTTTATAGCCCAACATTAGCCACCTTTAGCTTAGCGGTAGTGACGTGAAGTCCTGTGACCGTACTGTAGTTCCTTAATAGCCCAACATTAGCCACCTTTAGCTTAGCGGTGGTGACGTGAAGTCATGTGACCGTGCTGTAGTTCCTTTATAGCCCAACATTAGCCACCTTTAGCTTAGCGGTGGCGACGTGAAGTCATGTGACCGTGCTGTAGTTCCTTTATAGCCCAACATTAGCCTCCTTTAGCTTAGCGGTGGCGACGTGAAGTCATGTGACCGTGCTGTAGTTCCTTTATAGCCCAACATTAGCCCCCTTTAGCTTAGCGGTGGCGACGTGAAGTCATGTGACCGTGCTGTAGTTTCTTTATAGCCCAACATTAGCCCCCTTTAGCTTAGCGGTGGTGACGTGAAGTCATGTGACCGTGCTGTAGTTCCTTTATAGCCCAACATTAGCCTCCTTTAGCTTAGCGGTGGTGACGTGAAGTCATGTGACCGTGCTGTAGTTCCTTTATAGCCCAACATTAGCCCCCTTTAGCTTAGCGTTGGTGACGTGAAGTCATGTGACCGTGCTGTAGTTCCTTTATAGCCCAACATTAGCCACCTTTAGCTTAGCGGTGGTGACGTGAAGTCATGTGACCGTGCTGTAGTTCCTTTATAGCCCAACATTAGCCTCCTTTAGCTTAGCGGTGGTGACGTGAAGTCATGTGACCGTGCTGTAGTTCCTTTATAGCCCAACATTAGCCACCTTTAGCTTAGCGGTGGTGACGTGAAGTCATGTGACCGTGCTGTAGTTCCTTTATAGCCCAACATTAGCCTCCTTTAGCTTAGCGGTGGTGACGTGAAGTCATGTGACCGTGCTGTAATTCCTTTATAGCCCAACATTAGCCTCCTTTAGCTTAGCGGTGGTGACGTGAAGTCATGTGACCGTGCTGTAGTTCCTTTATAGCCCAACATTAGCCACCTTTAGCTTAGCGGTGGTGACGTGAAGTCATGTGACCGTGCTGTAGTTCCTTTATAGCCCAACATTAGCCTCCTTTAGCTTAGCGGTGGTGACGTGAAGTCATGTGACCGTGCTGTAGTTCCTATATAGCCCAACATTAGCCACCTTTAGCTTAGCGGTGGTGACGTGAAGTCATGTGACCGTGCTGTAGTTCCTTTGTAGCCCAACAATTAGCCTCCTTTAGCTTAGCGGTGGCGACGTGAAGTCATGTGACCGTGCTGTAGTTCCTTTATAGCCCAACATTAGCCTCCTTTAGCTTAGCGGTGGTGACGTGAAGTCATGTGACCGTGCTGTAGTTCCTTTATAGCCCAACATTAGCCACCTTTAGCTTAGCGGTGGTGACGTGAAGTCATGTGACCGTGCTGTAGTTCCTTTATAGCCCAACATTAGCCTCCTTTAGCTTAGCGGTGGTGACGTGAAGTCATGTGACCGTGCTGTAGTTCCTTTATAGCCCAACATTAGCCCCCTTTAGCTTAGCGGTGGTGACGTGAAGTCATGTGACCGTGCTGTAGTTCCTTTATAGCCCAACATTAGCCACCTTTAGCTTAGCGGTGGTGACGTGAAGTCATGTGACCGTGCTGTAGTTCCTTTATAGCCCAACATTAGCCTCCTTTAGCTTAGCGGTGGTGACGTGAAGTCATGTGACCGTGCTGTAGTTCCTTTATAGTCCAACATTAGCCACCTTTAGCTTAGCGGTGGTGACGTGAAGTCATGTGACCGTGCTGTAGTTCCTTTATAGCCCAACATTAGCCACCGTTAGCTTAGCGGTGGTGACGTGAAGTCATGTGACCGTGCTGTAGTTCCTTTATAGCCCAACATTAGCCACCTTTAGCTTAGCGGTGGTGACGTGAAGTCATGTGACCGTGCTGTAGTTCCTTTATAGCCCAACATTAGCCTCCTTTAGCTTAGTGGTGGTGATGTGAAGTCATGTGACCGTGCTGTAGTTCCTTTATAGCCCAACATTAGCCACCTTTAGCTTAGCGGTGGTGACGTGAAGTCATGTGACCGTGCTGTAGTTCCTTTATAGCCCAACATTAGCCACCTTTAGCTTAGCGGTGGCGACGTGAAGTCATGTGACCGTGCTGTAGTTCCTTTATAGCCCAACATTAGCCTCCTTTAGCTTAGCGGTGGCGACGTGAAGTCATGTGACCGTGCTGTAGTTCCTTTATAGCCCAACATTAGCCCCTTTAGCTTAGCGGTGGCGACGTGAAGTCATGTGACCGTGCTGTAGTTTCTTTATAGCCCAACATTAGCCCCCTTTAGCTTAGCGGTGGTGACGTGAAGTCATGTGACCGTGCTGTAGTTCCTTTATAGCCCAACATTAGCCTCCTTTAGCTTAGCGGTGGTGACGTGAAGTCATGTGACCGTGCTGTAGTTCCTTTATAGCCCAACATTAGCCACCTTTAGCTTAGCGGTGGTGGTGACGTGAAGTCATGTGACCGTGCTGTAGTTCCTTTATAGCCCAACATTAGCCACCTTTAGCTTAGCGGTGGTGACGTGAAGTCATGTGACCGTGCTGTAGTTCCTTTATAGCCCAACATTAGCCACCTTTAGCTTAGCGGTGGTGACGTGAAGTCATGTGACCGTGCTGTAGTTCCTTTATAGCCCAACATTAGCCTCCTTTAGCTTAGCGGTGGTGACGTGAAGTCATGTGACCGTGCTGTAGTTCCTTTATAGCCCAACATTAGCCACCTTTAGCTTAGCGGTGGTGACGTGAAGTCATGTGACCGTGCTGTAGTTCCTTTATAGCCCAACATTAGCCTCCTTTAGCTTAGCGTTGGTGACGTGAAGTAATGTGACCGTGCTGTAGTTCCTTTATAGTCCAACATTAGCCACCTTTAGCTTAGCGGTGGTGATGTGAAGTCATGTGACCGTGCTGTTGTTCCTTTATAGCCCAACATTAGCCCCTTTTAGCTTAGCGGTGGTGACGTGAAGTCATGTGACCGTGCTGTAGTTCCTTTATAGCCCAACATTAGCCTCCTTTAGCTTAGCGGTGGTGACGTGAAGTCATGTGACCGTGCTGTAGTTCCTTTATAGCCCAACATTAGCCCCCTTTAGCTTAGCGGTGGTGACGTGAAGTCATGTGACCGTGCTGTAGTTCCTTTATAGCCCAACATTAGCCCCCTTTAGCTTAGCGTTGGTGACGTGAAGTCATGTGACCGTGCTGTAGTTCCTTTATAGCCCAACATTAGCCACCTTTAGCTTAGCGGTGGTGACGTGAAGTCATGTGACCGTGCTGTAGTTCCTTTATAGCCCAACATTAGCCTCCTTTAGCTTAGCGGTGGTGACGTGAAGTCATGTGACCGTGCTGTAGTTCCTTTATAGCCCAACATTAGCCACCTTTAGCTTAGCGGTGGTGACGTGAAGTCATGTGACCGTGCTGTAGTTCCTTTATAGCCCAACAATAGCCTCCTTTAGCTTAGCGGTGGCGACGTGAAGTCATGTGACCGTGCTGTAGTTCCTTTATAGCCCAACATTAGCCTCCTTTAGCTTAGCGGTGGTGACGTGAAGTCATGTGACCGTGCTGTAGTTCCTTTATAGCCCAACATTAGCCACCTTTAGCTTAGCGGTGGTGACGTGAAGTCATGTGACCGTGCTGTAGTTCCTTTATAGCCCAACATTAGCCTCCTTTAGCTTAGCGGTGGTGACGTGAAGTCATGTGACCGTGCTGTAGTTCCTTTATAGCCCAACATTAGCCCCCTTTAGCTTAGCGTTGGTGACGTGAAGTCATGTGACCGTGCTGTAGTTCCTTTATAGCCCAACATTAGCCACCTTTAGCTTAGCGGTGGTGACGTGAAGTCATGTGACCGTGCTGTAGTTCCTTTATAGCCCAACATTAGCCTCCTTTAGCTTAGCGGTGGTGACGTGAAGTCATGTGACCGTGCTGTAGTTCCTTTATAGCCCAACATTAGCCACCTTTAGCTTAGCGGTGGTGACGTGAAGTCATGTGACCGTGCTGTAGTTCCTTTATAGCCCAACATTAGCCTCCTTTAGCTTAGCGGTGGTGACGTGAAGTCATGTGACCGTGCTGTAATT